ATTGAGGAGCATAATATCATATTTAGTGGCACTTAGCTACTAGAAAAATGAAAGTATAGCTTTATTACTGCTTAGACTGCCTACCCAGGGTGCAACAGGAGACCTCCCTTACCTCACAGGTGGAGGGAGTTTTGGCTGCTGGGACTTAGGCCCAGCTCAGAACTGGTGCTGCTGAGGGCAGCCCCTTCCCTGCTGTGACCCTGGGAGACTCTCCCAGGCATCATGAGGTGGCCATGGCCGGGTCCAACCCTTCTGCTCCAGCAGGACATCCTGGAGCAGGCTGCCCAAGGCTCTGTCCAGTGGGGGTTTCAATACCTCAAAGGTGGAGATGCCAAAAATTCACTGTGGAACAGTCGTGGTTTACACCTGGAAGTATTTCAAAACCTCATAGCCTCATTGCATGTCTGGTTGCTGAATATGAAGTTTAGACTTCTAGCTGAATCAAGTCTGAGGATTTCATTGAAGTTTTCTCAGAGTTTCTTATATTTCAGGTATCTACTTGCTGTGAATTTTTTTGCTTTACCTGCTATATCTTGTGAACATTTTGCTTGCTAGAGAGCCAAGAATCTCCTTCCCCAAGGGATTATTTTGACCCCAATCTTAAAAGGACAATTTGAGAACAACAAAACCATCTTCATGGGATGATAACACCAGCACAGCTTTTTGAAAATAATCACTATTGTGGTTTTTCTATATTCAAGAATTTGTTCTTGTGAGCAAGAAATAGGAATATTTAAAGCACATCTGTTGGTCAGTCCTGTTAGAATATACAATGAGAAAGCAAGTCTTAAGAACTGCAGCATGGATTAGGGTTTGAAATAGGTGCTAAGTTGTTGCAGAGCTACCAAGACACTTCTGTATACTTAGGGAACTTAAATAAATACTAAAGTATCTAAAATCTGAATCCTACAGATTTTCAAGTGTTCTTTATTTTTTATTCCTAATTTTTTTAAATTTCACTTTAAAACTCTTGTGTTCTCTGCTGTATATTTTCCCTTTGTCTGATATAATGCATAAATAGTAATCCTGTAATTACTTTTTCCTTTTATTTCTAATTATACTATGAATTTTTCAGGGAAAGAGCCTTAAGTATGTCTGAGATAGTAACATCACTTAGAAAAACCAGAAGTCTGTCACACTTAAAGGAGGTAGCTGTGAAAGTTGATCAAGAGGAAGGAACTTTCCTGGTCTTAGTTTTTATGCTGTTGTTGTCTGATTGTGTCAGTGAGTATCTTAAACTGGTAAATTGAATGACATCACTGGTTACCATCTTAATTTTTTTCCTCTTTGTTTCTCCCCTTTAGAAAGATTACTGATCACAGATTTTAGATAGAAGCCTTCTAGATTTTAGATTACTGAAGCACTTCATAAACCAGACCTTTTTCCATAAGAAACCACTGATTACAGTAGTAAGAAACCTATTCTTTTCTTTAGTTTTGATAAGTAGAAGATACACTGTACCAATAAAAACATTCTGAGTGATCCTAGTAATGATTTCTTGGGATAAGTATATTTGTAGATGCTTATTGTTGTTATAGAAGAGCTTAATGTTGGTAGGAAACCCATTAAACAGACAAATTGTGAAGTAAACCCTCAGACCAAAAGACTGCCTCACAGCTGGGAAAATCTGTGAATTTATTTTATCCATTAAGTAGTTAAACTTACAGATGTATGACAAAATCAGCAATAAACAATGAGTGAAGCTGTGAGGTATGTGGTCCCTCCTTGTACCTAAGTTCACATTGCCTTTCCCTTTTTGCCAGCTTTGTTAGCTAAACAAAACAAAAAATACCCAAGCCCTGCACCCCTCAAAATAAAACCCCAAAACATATAAACAACAACAAAAAAAACCCAAACAAAAAAACCCAAACAAACCCAAACAAATGCACTGAAGTCCCTTAGGGAGGAATGGAATAGCAGGAAATACATATCTTGACACTAGTTCTTGTGCCCTCCAGAAACGTTCTGTTTATTGAAGCCAGTCTTCTGTCCTCATAAGAACCTAACACTTTTTTCTTACCTTTATTTTCAGGTTTTATAAATAGTGATCTCATATATCACTACAGCATTGTAAGAAACAAGTTACAATGAATCTTTTCCAGGTATTTCAGAAAGAAACTCTTACCAAAGTGAAGAAGCTGTGGAGCCTGAATGAGTCCTGTGTAGCCCAAAGCACCAAACATTGCATTCTGATCTTTAGGGCTCTGGGAAAGCTTTTAAATAACAGAGCATCTGCTTGTCTTTTTCTTACCATCTGAATCTTCACCCAAAAGGCTCAAACAGCCCAAAACCTCAAGTGTATAGCTTAAGGCAGAGATTACTCTTATCATGTGTGCTGCAGCCATAGGAAAGGAACAGACTTCATCACTGAAGAGCTCTTGGAGATATCACTCCTGGTTTTGACATGCTTCCAGCAAAGTCAATGAGAATGTTTTCCTCTACCTACAGGAAGAGTATTTCTTTGAATACTCTTATGGATTTTCAAGATGCAAACAGATAGGTGAAGAAGGTTTTTCACATGATTACAGAAACACAGAATATACTGAGTTGAAAGATACCCACAAGGATCACCAAGTCTACCTATTCAGTGAATGGCCCATTTGGGGATCGAACCCATGACCTTGGTGTAATTAGGAGCATGCTCTAACCAGTTAAGCTAATCATTAATTTATGTCCTGTCTGTTCTACCTATGAAAGTAATCTGTACAAGAAAAAATATTTTCATGTATTACTAAGCTTTCACCTGTTTCTTATAATCAGCAAAACACATAAAGGAAAACACTTGTTTGTCATTTTAGCATCTTCGAGTCTCACCCTGGAAACAATCTAAAGTGTTGTCTTTAGATTTAGATTGTTGTTCTTTCTTAAAAAGATGCTATTAAGACCTTAATTTTACTACCAATGTCAAAATATTCACAGTATAACAGATTACAGGTCATTATTAAATTTTCAAATTATGATCTTAAAATTACTATTCCTTTCTTCCTGTACACTTATATCAGGTGGTTATCTTTGTTATTACTGTACTTAAGAAAAGAATTGGCTGATATGATAGCAGGTTACTGTTTGCTGAGCCAGGAGGTTTCTCCTTATCGTATATTTCTCTTACTCTTGTACTCCGATCCAAAGGATGCTTCTGTAACTGAATAGAGGCTTGGAATCTGTTTCTTAACCAGGGTCTGTAAGAAGCTCCATATCTTAAACAAGGTAGATATTGTCTGAGATATCACCTAAGTCTGTATGACATCACATAGCACTAAAGCTGTGAATGTCCTCTGCTCTCTCTAAGGATACTAGGGTTTGTAAAACATGGATTTATACGTAACACCTTTGAAGTATACACTGTGCAGAGTATAACTTCACCAATTTTGTCTATGAGTGAAACTGGTGATAAAGTCTCAAAGAATGGGTAAATTTCTTCCTTCAATCCCCATAAGCTCCTGCCTTTGATGTCTTTTCTGAACTTCTTATGCTGACTTCAATTGCAAATCTATCTCATTATGTTCTTAGAGCCGTTCACTTCAACAGAGTCTTTTGATTAACCAGAATCTAAGAATGTGACTCTCTATGGTGTTCCCTAATTCAGGGTAAGCATTAAGAACAACTTTGCTGTAAATGACAATGAATCAGACAAAGCTTTTATATACATCACTTACCTACCATTGCAGGCCTTGTTTGAAATGCCTAGTGCTTAACAAAATTCTACTACACAGGCTTGTGTCACACTGTAAAGGGAGTATCAGGATGACTGCACAGATGTTACTGCAACCCCTACAAAACCCAGGCCTTTACCACAGAGACAAATCCTCCTTAATGGATTCTATGCATAATAAATACAGACTTAATGATGAATATCTAAAATCACTTAGGGTGATAAGACTATTTTTCATCATCTGCATGTTGTAAAGAGAGAAAATTGAGAGACATATGTCTTTAAACTACAGAGGGAAAACTGTTGAACTACTGTGTGAGCAGAATATATTCATGGTTTGTTTGCTTTTATAAATATTTGTTAGCAGCTGAACATCTTTGAAGGGTTGGACACTGGCAGTCATTCTAAATAGATGAACCAATTTATGATGCAAACAAGGGAGGGAGTATGTAGTTTGATTTTTCTATCCTACTGTGTCATACTTTGAAGAATTTCGTCATCTAAGCATCACAATAAAGTGTGAGAAAAGTTGAAGAATTTAAAAATTCTAGTCTGCTGCAAATGGTGAAATTTTTATTTTGACTGTGAGCAATTGATAAAATAGTTATATTGCTAATTGGATTAGAAATTGAAATATTTATATTGTGATAGAGCAATTAAAATATTACTTCTAATTTATTTTAGGAATGTGATGTCACTAATAGAGTAAGTAAAAAAATACTGCGAAAGATTATGTTGTGACAGAAAGTGTCATATTCTGTTTCATTATAGTACTTTGACTTGACATAATGCATTAGTTGATGCGGTTTAAGCATTGCAATACCTTAAATTAGCATGAAAAATGGCACAATTTGACTTTTTTGAACTAAGAATGTTTCACAAGGTCAAAATAAAATATATTAACACTACCAGAATATGCTACTTCTGCTACCTTTAAAAACTGCTCTAGTAAACACCTTCAATTTTATCAAATCATCATTTTCTAACTGATAGATCTTCCAGCACAACTTTCTCCAGCAACAGCAATACACATGTGAGGACTGATAGCTTAATGATACTCATCTCCTTTGTCTGTAGCCAAACAATACATATTTACAGCAGCTGAGGATCTGTCCTAACGTTCCTCTTCATCATCTTGTCAATGGATGCTTTTCCTTTTATCATGATGTTGGGAAATCTAGGTCGAACATCTGAGCTTTACAGTTTTGTTTGTGGTCACTCTGATCTCTGTCACAGTGAATTTCTTAGTCACAAGCCAGCTGCTGAGAAAACTGTCTGACACGCTTATGGGTCTTACTTTGATGTCTGACATTTCCAGTTCCCCAGAGGAATGCAGTTGTCATGAGAGGTCATGATCAGGGAGACTGAGACCATCCGTTAGGTTGCCAGGGCCAGTCACATGCTGGCCTTTTAAGATCAGGACTGAAATACCGAGCTTGGATTGTATTCAGCTGGGAGCCAACACTGAGAGTAGGGTTGGGAGTGATGCACTTTTGACGGCCAGGGCTGCCAAACACCTACAGGTTGTTGCATTCTGCAAAACACGAAGATTTGGAAAGAGAGGGTGAAAAAAAATTAAAAAAAGGACCTGAAACACCTGATTTTATTCTAGTGAACTCATTGTACTGTCAGGGTGACCTTGAAGGATGGAGCCCTGTGGAAGGGGGAGCAGGGACCACAGGGGTAGCCCATACAGGCTAGTTAGCCAGGGTCTTCACTATCCAGAGCCTGTCCCACCCAGTTAGGATCAGGAAAGATGGGAGGGGTTGCTGAGGCAGCCCCAGCCTCAAATCACAGGTGGGTTGAGGTTGGCTCAACCACTGAAGACTGGCCCTGCCGCAGCATTTCTGGGGCAGGACAGATGGCCTCAGGAAGGTGAAATATGGTCCTGGGGCATGGGCAGGGGAAGGGGAGACATAAGCAGAGCTGAGCAGGGACAGTCAGAACTCTTGGTGGCCTCAGGATGCTAAGAGTACAGCGCTGTGATCTGTACTGCAGATGTCCCTATTATTAATTGTAAAGATGGAGTCCAATCTTTCTTACCTCACTATCGGAGGAGAAAATGAAGCTTTCAGTCAATGGTAAAACTTATCCTTGCAAACTGACCTGAGTGAATTTGACAAATATTGACAATGTAAAGAAGGCTTTCATTAGTACTGTCTAGATGTCCTCAACAGAGGTACTCAAATACTCTAAGCAAAGTCCAAGACTGGTCAAAAAACCTACATGCACCCATACATGCATTTTCCTTACAATTTCAAGTGAAATGCAAATTAAGGCAGTACACGAGACAGCTACAAACTGCCCATCAGACTCTGAGGATCACCCATCATTCAAAGATCACCCTCTGGAGGCCACTGCTTAAAAAGAGAAGGTGGCAGTTTAACAAAATAAGGGTTCCTAGGATGTACAGCAGATGAAGAAATACAGAACAGGGATTTTGTTTGCTTTTCTTTCTAATATCTTTATTAAAATATAAGAGGTGATATCCATTAGCATGATCATACAAAACAGAAGCAAGATTTCCAGGAAAGCTGCCTAAACTGGTTTCTACTTTCAGTTAGTGGTAACTATAGACAAACTCATGTTCAGTGAAAGTGAACCTTTTTGTATTTATTTCCAGGAAGGGTAATTGGGCTTCATGCAGAGTAAGACTAGGGAGGCTGGCAAAATCCTCTTCACAATGCTACGACCCAAGAGATATGCTTTTACTTGTTGGATGCAGAATAGTTATCTCAGAGTAGAGAAAAATGTGTTATATTCTTGTATAAATGGGAGCCCTGGAAACTCGTTTAAAGTTGTGTCTGTGTTTTAAAAGGGAAATATTGATCTATTTTAAACTTTCAAAATTAAGTTGACTTTAATGGCAGTGATTTTAGTGTCACATAGGAAAAAAATTACTTTAAACAAAGTTTGAATACCTCTTAGTTGTCAATAATTTATGGCTCATATGGTTTAATGCTCAGAATAAATATGGAATCTTTAACAAGAAAAAAGAAAAAAATTGAGGAGTGAATGGTGCACACTGTTAATATGATACAAAGAACTTAGACCCTTGGGAACAATTTTTCAACCCTAAAAATACCAACAAGGCGGTATGATCTAAGAGATGTAAAAGCAAAATAAATCTAAGAGCTTGGAACTGACTTTCTAGTGTTCAACAATATAAATTGCTGCTGCTTCTTGAGTTGACATTTATTTACCATTTTACAGTATGAGAAAGAGCCTCAAGATTAGAACAGAGAAAATTAAATTATGTTTCTGTTCCTTTGGCTACTGAGAGGATTGTATTTTAAAGATAGCTTTAAAGGTACATGGCCACTTTTAAAAGCCAGTACCTCACTAAATGTAGTTCATTCTTAAATAAACTGTCATGGAATCACTCATCCAGAACTAAAGAAATCAACCAATTTTTTGCCTATTAAATAATTGCTTAATCCTGAGAAGCATTTAGAAATATAAGTCCAGCTGTCTCCAGCAAAGACATTCAGCAGTTCCGTATCTGAAGCAGCACTGTTTTAAATTAAGTGAGCTTTTCCACAAATAGTGCTTTAATGAAACAAAGATAATTTACTGTGCTCAGGGTTGACTGAGTTTCCTGGCTACAAAGATTCATTACAACCATTTACAAAGTTAGTATCTTGAAGCATCTTTTATTAATACTGCTTTAGGTAGATTTTCTACTTAATATTTAAGCAAATGTTCTGACCAAGTAAGTATTGTGTTTAAGCCAAAATAAGGGGGATGAGATTGTAATAGAATATGCAAGGTTCTTAAAAGGAGGTTTTCTGCATAGCTTTGAATTTATGCTAGGCATTTAGATATTAAAGCATTTATACCTAGATTTCTGTCAGACCTGTGAGAAATAACAGTTTTCACAGCTGTTAAACTAACAGTGATTGACCCAAAATACATAGCTTACTTTTATTCTGATACAAAATATATTTTCTTTCTTACATGTCTCACTGAATTTATTAATAGATTTTTTTTTCTTTTCTGTCAAGTTCTTATGATCTAAATTGCCCTTAGAGAAGACAGGGTGTGAGAGGAATATGTTAAAATTACCAAATAAAGTGTGGTGGTGGAAAATATTAATTAAACTGATAAATCATAAAATTGTTATGAAAAATGAGTAATACAAAAGATGCTGTGCAATATGAAGTCATTTTAGTGTTTTGAACAGAGATCAGTGCCATAAAATTCTAATTTCTAATAATAATATCATGATGATTTAGAAAAAAAAAAGTCACTGTAGCTCGGAAACGCAGAAATTTATTTTTTCTGTTGTGCCACTATGTGTTGAAAACTGTGGTAATTCTCAACTGGAAGACTGGTTTGCCACTGAGAACTGTAAGGTTTTAATTTAGTAGCTTATTTTTCTGGGAAAAGGAAACGAGTCAGCAACTGCAACTCCTTCCTTCTCTCTAGCTCAATTCTTCCATGTTGACATGCAGGGACAGGCATTGTTGCTGAGACTCAGATGAGTGAATAAGAAAAGCTTTTTCAATGCCTTTCCCAGATATCCTCTAGGAGAGTGATTGCAGTAACACAGAGACTTCCTGAAATCACAGGAGCTTTCTGCAAGTCCAAATCTGTTTCTACTTAGTTTCCAAACCCATGTTTTATGTGAGGAGCACAACTTACACATCTCTGTGGCACATCTTAGCATATGAGCTTTGCAATGAATTAGGAGAGAGCATAGTTACAGTTTTATTGTCTTTGTGTCAGAAAATATCTTGATTTTGTGCTTTGCATTTCTGCCATACTTGGTACTCATTCAATAGAAGATATAAAGCATAAGCAAAGATAAGCAGAGGATATCAAGCAGATGTCTAATTTTGTTGATTGATGAGGAGGGTTTTTTGGGTAAGGCAGCTACTTAGGTTGCTCTGGAAGAGCAATTACCTTTGAGCTACAGTCATTCAAATGGGACTGTAGTGTTAGATCACATAGGCTGTTTAGGAACAACAACAAAAATTGCTGTGCCTGGAACAGACTAAATTACCCTTCAGCCCAGAATCTTGTCTTTGATAGGAGCCTTCTCTAGAAAAAGATGATAAGAAAAGGCTTCACATGGAGTGGTGCTTCCCTTGATAAATGCCCTTGCTTTGGAGAAACTGTAGTGCAGGTATTTCCCGAGGTGAAAGCTGTTGCTGCATCTTTTGAATAACAGTCCTCAGCACACTTTTCATCCATGATTTGTGTAACTGTCTTTGCAAGCATTTATACTTTTGACATCCACAGCACCTCATGACAATGAGTTCCAAAATTTTATGTCCTGTGTGGAGAAGTATGCTTCCTTTGTTCATTTCAAAGCTTCAGCTTATTTAGCAAGAAGGCATAAAGCATAACCACAGATCAATGTAGCAGAGACGCAGGGCTATAATGGAACCTACTAAATACAACTGAGTAAGAATGAGGCAGAAACTTAGAATGTGATTAAATGATTCCTATAATTATAAATCATCTATTCTCTCCTGAATTAATATCCCTAAGAAAAACAGGATCTGAAAATAAATTGAAGCATATTGAACAAATGTATACCAGGTGAAATATTTTCCTTGAGTGACCATATTGACCTCCCACCTAAGCTAACAGCAAAAGTCTGATAACATGCAGCCCAGAACTCTAAAATGCTCTTCCTTACTGATACCATCCAACCTTATTTGTCATTGCAGCAGTAGAAATATTTAAGTGAGTTCTCTGCATAATTGAGCTCTTTTCATTAGTCTATTACAGGAGGCAAATGCTAGTGAATCAATCTTACAAACCACATTTCTCCTCAAAGGTCTACCATGCAAAGGTTTATGGTAGAGTATGTGTTCCCTCTTGTGTATGTGAGTGTGAACTCTGAGACTGCCTGAATACATGCCTAGTGGCTGTTAAACCTCAAGAGCTTTTTTCTTGTAAGAAGTAAAGAGGATGCAGCAACATTTAATACAGCAATATTTTTCCATTAAAACAAGTGTTAAGTAGCAAGGGGATTCCACTTTTTGTGTTTGGTTAATTTATAATGAACGCTTGGTAAATGCTACAGCTTTTCTTGCAGAAATGAGAAAATTTCTTTTCACTTATGATCTTGTAGCATTGACATGACTCTGTAACCCTGTGTTTTCTGAGAGGTTAGCTTATGCTACTTATTTGAAAATTTGCCTCTAAATAAAAAATTTTACAGTGACCTATCCTTTCTTCTCAGATTGGAAATCTAGAGCAGTTCTTGTACTAAACATCATTGACTAATTTGACAGCAAACTTCACAGGGTTTAACTGGACAGCTCTGGAAAAGAGAAAGGGAAATGGAAAGTAGAGGCTTTGCATGTGAGCTTCTCTTTCTTCAAATGCTTTCTGTCATACAGTTTAAACAGAGATGGATTTTTCTTTTTTTTATTAATCCACTTGCATAAAATCATAGGTAAATTGTTTTGGAACATCTCATTTACCTTAACTGAGACAAGTTCTCTATCTATTTTTGTAATATGTGATTTGTATTAATTAGGACACTAGAAGTCCATCTGACCATGTGCTTTGGACAGTTTTTTCCCCCCTGGATAATAAATGAACAGATAGTAGGAAAATATCTTTGACTTACTTTTAGCATCATGGAGATGTATTAAAATAGATA